CTTTCTTCATAGTCACCGCCGTGAAAGCCTCAAATTTTACATAGTAGTTACCGTGTTTCCCTTTCCCCTATTCCAGTTGGGACCCTCTGTCCCAGACGTCCCAAAGCAGTCCCAAAGTGTGAAGAAGGGGTTAGAGAGCGTCGTGAACAGGTTGTTGTAACTCCCAGAGGGGTGATGGAAGCATGCAGACCAGCCATCTATGTTCTGTTACTTGAACTAGGTAGTCTGGAAATGACTGGAATCGGTCATAATACACCTATCGCAAATAATCTAATCGCATAAGTGTCAGCCAATCAGAGTTCTTGACGTTCTTGACTTCTTGACAGAGGGCAGGAACTAGAATGGCAGAAAGTGGTAGTGGTTGTAATGACTTTCTAGGACTTCTAGGACAATATCGAGCAATTTCGAATAAATTGAAGAAGTACGTAACGAAGACTAGTATTATTATGTAATTGAATGTGGTCGTGAAGGTTTGAGGTTGTGTTGAAGAAGTTGTCATATGTCAAATGAAAGTAGGGATTAAAAGTAATTTTTGTGTTTCAGGCGATTTCTTAGAAAACCAAATGTAACTGAAGCGAGTGACCAGTTTGGTGAGTTTGTTTTGTTTGTTTTTTGTTTGATTCGTGGTTTGGTGGACTAGGGAAGTCTTTGGTTTGAAAATTTNTGTTTTGTTTATAACATGGATGTTTTTAATGCGGTGTGTATATTATGCAGGGTAAACTTGCCCTTCAGTGTGAGCGTGAGGAACTACCACAGTACGCAGGGTTGTGTTGGGTGGCAGCTGCCAGGTGTGGAAGTTACTTAGGAAATGGTTCTGGCGAAGCATGGGACGTAGTTCGTGCGGGAAGACAATTTTTGACAGAAATTAGTGTGAAAGACCTAGATTGTCCAAGTCCTGGCGGTGAACATGTGCAGGTAATATGAATATGTTTTACATCAGAAATATTTCCTGTTTACTTGAAATAAAAGTAAGGTTAGGATCGACTCCCTCAGGTCAGTGTTGAATTCTGTATGTTATGTTAACTCAATGAGGAATGAATTAGTGATAAATGTTGTAGTCAACCCTTGATATAGTGCAGGTTTCAGGGGACAGCTTAAATACCCCAATTATATGTTAAACTGCTGTTTATCTGATTTTGGAATCCCTGATATGTATATTTGGCCCATGACAAAAATATGTGAAATTTAAGGTACGTTTCAGAGGTATGTTTCACCAATGCTGCTGGCCCAGACCAGTAGATTACTTACATTTATATCTTCTTAGAAAAGTCATATTAGAGTAAACAGAATCATACTTTTTCATAGCAAATTATGGATCTTACCCTCTGTACCCACACACTATAGCAAGGAATATTGTACTCTCATAATATAATCAGAACAATTCATAGAAGTGTGGACGATGTGAAATATGTGTAGTCATATTGGAGGACATCATCTCCACTGCAATATACCTGAAGGTAAAGTTATCCCTCTGCTTAACTGAATAAGCACTATGGTATTAAGGTGTATGGGGAAGTGGATGTACAGATCCATATTTTCTT